GCTTTTATCCGATTAATCATGTATGGAAATATGTGATTTTTAGGCGGTCGACGAGCCAAATTTCTCTGTAGCGTACGCATTAATGTGTAAAGAACTCGCGCAGATGGAGGTCTCGGGTGGTTCGGATAAAAATCCGGATAGTCAGGAATGCTCACTCAATTTTAGAAAGCTCATTTTAGATCGATGCCAAAAGGAATACGAGAAGCATTCGTTCAACGAAGACGCGAGGAATGCGAAACTGAAACAAATCGAAGAATGCCCAGATCCCGTGAGTATTACTTCTGCGATCAGTTTGAATCGTGAATATTTTTTACACTTTGATGATTTTTACGTTTAATTAACAGGAGAAGAGAAAAGAAATGCTATCGATTTTCGAAGAGGAGGAACGTCGAACGCGTATAAAATCAGTAGGAAATATACGGTAATTAATTTGTGCTTGAAACCAGCGGTTTACTTGATGGGAAAAGTGGAAAACCGTGAGAGCGCGTTGTATGTTATATTTTTGATTTTATGCGTAGGTTTATTGGTGAGCTATATAAACAAAAAATGTTAACTACTAGTATCATGCGTGGCTGTATACAACAGTTGTTAGATCAAAATGACGAAGACAGTCTCGAATGCTTGTGCAAATTATTGACAACTATTGGAAAGGATTTAGAATCGAAGATACTAGAGGTAACGCTTACTTTCCGTATTTCATTCTTACAGCATTGTTGCAACTTTGATATCCATTGTTGTAGAATTATTCGTTGAGTAGATAGATTCGATTGTTAAGTGGATCTTTCTGTTATATCTCTGTTTCTTTGGTTGATCAGGAAATGCAAGAATATTTCAATAGAATGAATGATATCGTTCAACGGCGAGGAGAAGGAAAAATTAGTTCTAGGATTCGTTTTATGCTGCAAGATGTCATAGATTTAAGAGCAAATAAATGGGTTCCAAGGAGGGTCGATAGCGCTCCTAAAACAATAGATCAAATTCAAAAGGAAGCAGAGTCTGAAAGATTAGATAGCCAATTGAGCAATACTCCTTTGAATACACCACGAAAAGATGAACGTGCTAGTGATAGAAAAAGAAATCGTAAGTATCCGTCAATTTCATCGCTAAACGTGTTCCGTTCAATTTTATCCTCTAAACATTAGTTCTGATCAACTTTACAACATGATGATCCTTGTATATTTTTGCTAGACTAGAGTTTCTGAAAGGTGTGATTGTACAATACATTCTGAAGTATTCATTTTCAGCGATGTTTATATCTTTGTATGAATCATGTACTCACGAAATGACGTTCTCTGATACAGGTGGTGTTGGTCCAACTGACGATGCTGGTTGGAGTCAACCAATCGTAAGAACAAGACAACCATATACCGTTGAGACTGCGAAATTGAAAAATAAACCTGTAAGTGCAAAACAAGTTTTTCGTTATCTTGATTGCGCGGTTAATATAAAAAGCAAATATTTTATTAGCAATGAATTTTTCTAGCCACCAATGGATGATTTGCAGTTAGGTAGCAGAAATATGTACATGTGGAAAACTCCTTCGAATTGTGGATTAAAGACAATAAATTCAAATAAATTCGCATGCTTACAAAATATGCCGCCAACTTTCGAACAAGATAAACGAATGATGTCTCCACAACTCTCTGGGTAAATGTTTTTCTCTTTCGAATTTCATTTTCGATCGTTAAATATGTACATAGGATAAACATGATGAAATTCTTTTTGCTAGGCTAGAGTTTCTGACATCTTCTTATATGATCTACACATGCAGCTGACTTTTAAGGAAGCAACATTTAATACGTACCAAGTGATTTATATTTTTAATTAACATACCTTATTGGCTGATTTCAGATCGAGATCCACTGGTCCTAGAGAGTATGGCCGCGACTACAAACTTTCCTATGGTACGTACAATTCCCAAATATCTACAACTGTTCGCGTAATTTTTATATTCTAAGACTAACAATCGAATGATGAGTAATTTTTAATTTTTGAAAAGTATCACTTAATGTTGTTTGCCAAAAGGATTCTGATATTTTACGAGCCAATTATTTGTTGCTCTCGCTGTTCGTATAATTTTGAAATAAACGAGTCGTGTATTTTTAATATTACAGATGGTAGGAGTTCACGCAATGGTAGTCATCAATTAAGCAGTTCATCGTCAAGTAGAGATAGTTCGTTGTTAGATAATTCACAAAATCAAAGCGTTTCTATGCCACCATCGGTAAAATCATCGCAATATACCTCTAGTAGTCACAAACCTCCACTGTCAGATGAGGAGTTCATGAAAGCTTTGAATACTATAATGACGGATTACCTGAAAAATCCTATGGTGGAAGTAAGTCTTTCCATTTCTTTCTTACTCTAATAATAATCGTATCGGTAAAAAGGATCGTTTAAATAAGAATGTTTGCTTGAAAATTTACCCTCGTGTTGCGCGAATCGAGGGTCTGCTGTAGTAGCACACTCCTTAGATCCACCTCTGCTATTTTCTAGGAGATGCTTGAGTCATTGGTGTGCTATATTACGCAATACCTTCTTTTTGGTCTTTATAAACAGTGTGTAAATCAGCGTCAACGCTGCATTTATAGGAATCATTGTTTATGTGATCAACGAGAGGACATTTTTCTTGGCAAAATTTTTACTGACTTTGTCCAATGAATTACATTTTTACGCCTCGATTATTCGATGTAACGAACATTCGTTTTACAGAAAGCTGCATTGGCTATTCAACAAAACTTCGACAATGCGTTATCCAAATTCGTTCGTGAATTGATCAACTTCGTTCTGGAAAAATCGCCTGTCGACAGAGAACGCGTGTCGTATCTGATATCGCATTTACTCACACAACAAATTTTGACTTTACAACATCTTAGAAATGGGTAAGTTGTGTTTCTTTCGAGGAATCGATTTTAAAAATATTTTTCGAATATGATGAGATTTCGATGCAGAGAAGATTGTTGTGCTGAATTTTATCTATTAAGCCAAAAGGATACTGAAAAAGAATTATAACGCGGTAAAAGGTAAAGATAATATTTTTTCGGAAACATTAAAGTGTTATTCATTTTCAGGTTCATTGAAATATTGGAGGTCGTAGAAGAATTGATGTTGGATATACCGAAAGTTTGGTTATATTTTGCACAGATATTGTGTAAGTTGATATTAATAATATATTCTATTTTCATTACGTCTTTTGTAAAGAAATTTGCTTTTGTTAGAATTCATTAGACATGATGACTATTTTTTACCATAGAGTATTTCCATGCGGGTTTTTTTTGCTCAACAGGCCTGAAATTATACAGTTACCCTTGTTTTTGTCGATTTAAAGAAATTGATGTTAATTTTCAATATTTCTTTCTCGCAGCGTATCCAGTAAAAGAAGAATTACTTCCCCTACAAGAACTAAGACCTGTATTTGATAGTTTAAGAAGTCGAGGATGTGTAGGCAAATTTCTTGGAGAATTGTTGTTACAACTATCTCAAGATAAAGGACCCAAATGGGTGGCACATAAGTGGGACCAAAGTGGGCTTCAGATGAGCAATATAATTGATACAAAGCTTGAAGAAGTTGACAAAATTATTAAAGACTATGTAAGGTCACATTGGTATTATTTAATGAAGTTGTACCATTGGTTAAAATGAGAACAAAGTAAAACAAGTATTGTTATACTTTCTAGGAGTTGGATTTCTGCACTGGTGATTATAATAGTGCCAAAGGCTCAACAAGTAGTCAACCTACGTTACCACAAATTCACAATGAACTTAAAAGACTTACAAAGGAAAGTAGTTTCGATGAAATTTGTAAGTGGATAATTGTAAGTATCGTTCATTCGGTCATTGATTATTTTCTCACCAGTAGCACGAGAGATCAATTTTATTGATTTGTTGTTCACAGGTAAATGTAGATAATCGAGTCAAGGAGCCTGAGTTTATTCGAGTATTAACAACTGCCATTTTAGAGACGTCCATGGGTACGTGTTGTCTATTGTATCGCGTACCATACGTCACGTATTGCGTTTCTGGAATATCACGATTATTAAGCATTGCCCGTTTTCATTTATAGAACCTGTCAATAGCAGATGGTATCTCAAAACTGATCGTTTTACTAATTTGCAACAATTAATTCGCCGATTCGTCGATGCAAATGAATCTTTAGAATTGCAGTGTCTTTATGCAATTCAACTCCATTTGCACAAATTACAATATCCGCATGGTAAGACGTGAAAGTGTATAGTGGAAGCATACCGAGGAACAAAGATTACGGTTGTCTTTTCTTTTACGTGAAACTTTGTTCCCTGGTATGGTTTGTTTGTTTTCTTATAGAATTTAATGAATTATACTTGAATTTTTTGCAACGTATAGGGATCCTGTTTGATATTATGACCAGTTTGTCCGACTACAATATAATTTCGAGCGACGCGTTCCTAACGTGGAAAAACAGTCCTGAGCCGGCTCAACGTGAATGGCATGGTGTTGCAACGATGGCGCTGACATCGTTTTTCACTGGTTTACAAGAAGCTGATGATGCTTCCAGTGTAGAAGACGTATCAACCGGCGTGAACCAAGATCGTTGTTGACGATACCGTGATCGGACGCATTATCGTCTGCTAAAAAGACTTAAATATACGTTCCCTCGTTAAAATGATA